TGACATTGGCTGAAACCGTGTTAACATGTCTGAGCATTGAAATGTTTGAGCCTCCGAAAGACTCCCCGTGCCCACCAAAATGCAGAAGCATGGTTCGTTAACAAGGACTCTCATTCAATCCTAGATGCCTCTTTACTGAACTTGGGACCCTTGCGAACAGTTGAACTTTTAGTTGTTTCTTAGGGACTATAAAGCAACCGAAAATTGAGCACTATTTCTAAGTACCCCTGAGACCTCGCCGTAAGGGGTTGGAGTCAGGATCTTCGGTCTGGCGTTGGAGGTTCATGGGTAGCTATAAGTAGGGCCTATAAGGTTCCTTATAGGGGACTTGTAAGTCCACTTATAACTACCCATGACTACCCATGAACCTCCAAGAAGGGCTCTCTTTCAGCGCTTGGTCCGTCCCTGCCTGATACCGGGTCTGACACATCTCGCCAGCTTGTGAAGTCGAAGTTCTTTGACTCGGTTTGCCTGTGTATAACTTGATTATAAACCCTCCGGCCGCCACCGACTGCCTTCGACCCTTTCTTGAGGCCCACTGCGATGTGCTCGATGCTCGGCGCGGCACTATGCAACTGATCGAAAAGCTGCTGGAAGTTGGCATGTTCCATGTTGTCCTGTATGGCCTCCAATCCAACATTGACGGGGTCGAGTTGATCACGCAGGAAACATTGAAAGAAGACATGGACCAGAAAGATGGCTACAAGCTGCATAACAATGATGTGCCACTTCTCTAGATCTTGACGACAAATTGCAACAATCAACAGCAGAGCCAGGAACTCTTCGAAAGCAAGCATGAAAAAACTGCAGCCCAAGCCAGTCGAGCGCTTGCTTTCTTGGCCGGCACTCTCTGACAGGAATGCCTCTGCATCTGACTCCGAGCTACTCATGGCGCAGGTACCCGTACGTCTACGGTATGTGGCTGCGCACAGGAGTGCGAAGAACTCTTAGCGTGCTCTCGCTTCCGAGCCGGTGAAGCTGCGGCGAAGTTGGATCCACTCTGGGTCCTTGCTAGGCAAGTCAGCACAGCAAGGAAACCCTATTATTTACTATAGATCCCTATGACGGCAACTTCAACTAACTTCATCTAACAAGAAGCCAATACTACTGCAAACCTGCGAATCACAAAGTGCATTTCGTATTCCCCATACCCAGGATTGTAGTACGTAAGTGTGGTTTCCATGTTTTCTTTTTCTTTACATGGGATGCTATCCATAAGATACGTTTGTCTCAAAAGTCTTCTACAATTCAGGGTCCACGCAAACCGTTTTATGTCTTTCAAGCTGGGCTGTCTTCCGCAGAGTAATCCCAAAGCACAACACTCAAGCTCTAAACTAAAGCTAGAATACCTTTCTAGGAGGAGCCGAGAGGGCTTGCGGTGTAGGGTTTAGTGAAAAGCAACTTGACAGCGACCTACTCAGCTGGCAAGCAGTCATCCTTCACACTATGATCCCGAATGCTGAGTGCTCTGCTGGATCGGGTAGGGCCGCCTTTAGTTGGAGAGGCACCTTGCGGGCCCCGACACAAAGGGCTCAAGCTTGTCATTCCCCCAGAGGGTCCATGTATACTACCATTCTGAAATCGTGCCAAAAGGCCATCTTCATCTGGTTTTGGGACCTAATTCCATAATCGCAAGTTATATATGCACCCTCTTGTTTCGGACTGTCTTCACCTTAGACCCCGCAAAGCCCTACCACCAACGTCACACCCAAACCCTGAGGCGAGGAAGCCGAGAAATTGCGGCATCATCCATACACGGAATCCATTTCCAGCCAATTGTGGGTACAACCGGGTTCAGGTCTGGAAAGCTTTGGTTCATGTCCTTGTGCTCGTGTGTCATCAGAACAGACGGAACCCCACCCCCCCCTCCCAGGCCGTCTTCCTTTACTATCATGAACGCCCACGACCCTTTCCTTTTTGTCCTTGCGTAAAGGCTCCAAGCTCAACCTGTGCGTCGTTGAACCCTAATTCATCAGTCCGTTTGGCGCCTACCCGTAAACTCAAGGCCTGCCAAAATAAAGCCGTCCCCCTGACCCTGGTGTCATCCTGGGCTGATATAGACGTTGCGTGTTGGAAGCCGAAACGTGTGGATTTCGGGTTCCCAAGTAATCCTGATAGAAGCAGGTGTAAATCTAGTGCATCGAACTCGGCCGTCCCCGCATATATGGCGGTACTACTCCTAATTATTCAGACCCCTGTACTACCCTTTCCACAAACATGAAAACTTGTTTTCGGTCGCCGGCGGAGTCGGCACACTCCGAAATAGCCAGAAATACGCAGCACGAAAGCAATCTCAAGATTCTGTTCCGGGTTTAGCTCTACGCCGCGCTTACACAAGCTTAAGGCTCTAAGACATAACAGATCACGAGAAAGACCGAAACTATCTGTTACAGCACTTTCCTAGACCCTGAACTACTGCACCTGTAGACCCTTACCCATACCTAAACCACAGAGCCTAAACCCCTTGTCCTGAATTCTGAAACGGTTATGTCCCGATCCCTGGTCTCAAACCTGGCCTTAGACCCTGAATCCTGAACCCCAAACTTAAGCTACATGATATCCCGAACCGAAAGCGCCATCACATCTCCCTAAAGCCCGAACTCCGTTGGGCCCTAACCCTAAAATCTTGAATCCGACTTTAACCCTTTTCAGCCAATCCCAACCCTTTCCCTAAATCCAATACCCATGAACCCTTAAAGCCCTGGAGCTCAAATCATGAAGACAGGGCTTTGCTGAGCTCTGGGGCCACTGCCGAAGCCGGACTTCCTGTTGCTTCAGACGGCATCGTACCCGCCTTCGGTGCTTGGGGATTTCATGGGCTTGTGGCTTGAGGGGTTTGGCCTTACGGGTGTAAGATTTGGGGTTTGGCGATTGGGGGTTCAGGGCTTTAGCGGTTTTGTTTAGTGTTTGCTCGAGGCTGGCAAGGTATGTTTTGGTTTAGGGGTTAGGGGTGTAGTGCTTTAAGGTATGTGTGGTCAGGGTTTAGGGGTTTATGGTTTACGCTCTGTGGCTTAGGATCTGGGGCTCAGGGGCGTTTGGGTGTCGGACCCCCGAATCATCTTTTTCCTGACCGAGAGGAACTAACTAGGAGCTGCAGTTTGGGGCATCTAGATGGGTTTACGGTAGGGTTCTTGGCAAAAAGGTTTTGGGTTGGGGGTTTTGATGGCTTTTTCACTTCAGGTTTCCCTGGCCAAACACCCCAAAAAGACTAGGTCCCAACTTGCTTTTTGCCCCATCAGGGACAACACAAACCCCTGAGCCCAATGTGCCAAAGCAAAGCGACGATCCTGCAACGAAGCGGTACCGTGCCTCAGATGTCAGAGCTGCTACGACTGGGCTCTGTTTTACAGACTTTCAGAGAAGTTGTGAAAGTGCATGCAGTCCGGTGTTAGTTGCTCATCAAGAACCCGGTACACACAACCGATGCATGTTGTAGAAGGGATCTGAACCTGTCATCGTGAACTTATTCCCATCGCCCCCGGGGGGGTTGAAGATAAAAAGCGCACGGTATGAAACTCCACAACCCCCTCAGCAAGCCTTATAAACGCTTAACATGGTATTCGGAAAACTCAATTACAAGAGCCTTCTCTTCAGCTGCTTCTGCCCAACCAGCCGCAGTATCACTCTCCGCCACCAGCAACGTGGTCCTGTGAACCCTAATTAGGGTCCAAGTAATAGTATAGTGTATACTTTCGGGGCCATTGCTATGAATATTACCATTGTTATAAGTATATCATTATTAGTTACTACTAGTACTATTATTACTGCTGCTATTATTATTACTGTTATGTTGCGGGCCGAACTAGCTACTACATTGGTACTTCGATCCTCTGGGGAAGGAACCTACAAAGCCGGGCCTTGCTCAACTGCGCTTGTCTGTATTGCTCTTCGTCTGGTTTTCTGAGTGAGTGACTGAGGTAGTGAGGGAGAGAGTTATTTGGTGAGTGACTCATGGAGGGATGTGGAGTTGAGTGGAGAGGCGCGGAGTTGAGTGGAGTGGTGAGTCAGTGACGGAGGGAAGTGGAGCGTGGCTGACTGCGGTGGGCGAGTAAGTACGTATGCATGCAGGTAAGAACATATGTTAGCTGGTAACGAGCAAGCAAGCAAGAGAGCAAGCAAGAGAGCAAGCAGGCAAGCAAGCCTGCTTGCAAGCACGCAAGCACGTAATAAAGTAAGCAAGTAAGTAAGTGAATATTTTAATTGAGTTCATGTGGCACACAAGCTTCAAGCCCATGGCTTTGACCGAAATTTCACATCCTGAACTACGCAGCTCTAAAATTCGAAAATCCGAAAGTGCTCCAGCCCAAACTCTCAGGCGCCATCAGCGAGAATAGGGTGTTGCAGAGCATACACTCTGTTTTATTTTACAACATTATAAACTATTTCGTGCCATTATACACACCACAGGACCTCCCTTGTAAGACCTCCCTGAAACCTAAATAATATGGTAATAGTAAAACCGATAACATACATCCTAAACCCTCATCCCACAGACCTCTGACGCCCCAAGGAAAATCTCCTCGTGCAGGCGTTCAAAGCCTCACGCCCTACCTGCTCTTCGAGGCTACTGGCGTAGGATTGAAAGCTTTGGATCTAGTGTTTGCAGGTTTTGTAGGGCTTAGGAACAAGGGTTTAGGATTCAGGATTCTAGGCTGGAGCTAGTATAGGGTTTGGGGTCGAGGCCAGAGATAGTTAAGGCTTTAAGGTCTTAGGGTCTAGAGTGTGTTTGCAGGGTTAGTTTCGGACTTATGGATTATAGGGCCTGATTATGGTTTAGGTAATGCCTGTCTTAATGAGGATGTATTTTCCATCTGCTTGATAGCTTCAGCTGCCAGAAGAAGGATTTTGCGGAGCGCTTACAGGTGCTTCGACTCTCACACTCGGCAATGCTAGACTGCGAGAAGGGTTCAGCCCCTAATCCACACCCCCTCCTCATCCCAATACAGCAACAGACGTCTCATACTATTGTTCCCAAAACTTTGCGCTGCCGTGCTCCGGAACCGCCAGTAGATGGGGGGAAGGCTTGCGGTGGCATCTGTGAAAGCCCGCCAATAGATGGGGGACAACACCTTGGCCGCGTGAGGTCGGTCGTGGTTTCCTGGTGGTTCTCCTGGTGGTGTCTTCAGGTCTCCTGTCGGCTCCTGGTGGTCGGCATGGTGGTCCTGGTGGCAATGGTGGTTGTGGTCGTGTCGGTCGTCGTGGTCGTCACGGTCGTCGCGGTGCCCTGTCACTGTTTGGGGGTTGGCACTGGCAGAACTACTCTCTACAGACCTACAATCCTACACCACTACAGTACCAGACCTAGAGGTACCACTCCAGTTGGATCAGCATCAACACCAACATCTTTATTGCATGCTGGATCAGCAGGACATCCAAACCCTAAACCTTAATCCACTAGCTTCCACCGCAACCCTTTTTTACACAGCCTTGATCGGAGCTCGCCAGGCTACAGAAACCCGAAACACTAATCCAGCAGCTTCCACCGAAACCAAAGGCCCTGAAACCCGTTCAGAAGGCGTCAGCCTCTTCGGGAGCGTCCTTGGGCGTCTCGAGGTCCTCGAGATAGGATGTAGGGTTTTGAGAGGCTGTATATTACGTAAAGGGTCACTATAAGGGACAACATAATTATCATTATTATTTTCATTACGATTACTATTATTATTGTGACGATTATTGTGATTTTTATCATTATGCCGATTGTTAATCATTATGATCATGACGTTATTATTAATATATTTGAGATGTGCGGAAGCAACCCGTCGAGGATCAAGGCATTTAAGGCCTGAGGTAAAAACCGCCTCCGGCATGCTTGTAAGCTTGTCAAAGGGGGCCATGCCAAGAAAAGCAACGGATTCACTCTTCTCTTGTTGGCTTCAGACTCGACAGCCTA